TCGCGAGCGCTGGGGGAAAATGTCGAGTCAATACGTCTTGCTGCGTTGCCTTCTCCAAATTCCCATTTCCTCGAATTAGGTAATACACATTGGTCATTAACATCTATTTTTAAAATTAAAAATACATTTATTTTAAACCTTTGCAAAATAGTTTCTCAGTACAGTAGTTAAGACGGAAATTAAATCAATTATTAATCCATCTGTCTTTATGTAGGACAACATATCAGGTATCCAATGAGATAAACATTTGTGCTCTTATATTTGATAGAACGGAAAATATTGCGATTCTAAAGAGTGTTCGTGCACCGAATTCTATACATGTCTTCGATATTTCAAGACTTGTAAAATACAAACCAACACATTTACCACTGAGAAACTTACAAAGATATATTTTGTATGATACAGATGATGTGCACTAAGTTGCATTATAATCAGAGGGGGTGAGCGTTGAAAATATCTCTATTCTGCGACGACATGATGTGGAATGACTCAACCCTGGTATTGCGAGGTTCATACAACTACTCTTTTAAAGAAGTTTTTAAGTCATGTTACACATTTTCAAAAGAATGTTTGAAAATATAAAAATAAATTGCAGTGACTTCAAGCAGAAATTACACGAAAACAACTTTTTTCAAAAAAAACAAACTTGTACATGATCTTATTTAAATATCTAATGTATTTATGTTTTTAATGTGTTAAGTGATGAAATATTAATGTCTTGCAATTTTCGAAAACAGTTCGATTTTGCAATGCGCACCAGTTGCAAAGGGACCAGTATTATTTTTTACAGCCCTTTGGCACATACAAAGAAAAATTTGGAGCGGCTAGTGAGAAAATTAGTATTCAAAAATTGCTTACATTCGCGCAATATGAAATGTACTCAAAATTTCGAAAAATTTGTTTACGATATTTTTTAAGATCGTCTTGAACATTTAAAATATTTCCTCTTTCGAATGATTGTAGTTGGTAATCGCCGAGCAAAATGTTGAACTTTTCGCATTTTCCAATGATGCTGGCGATTTCTTGTCAAGCATTTGCTTTTTTAGAAGACAATATTGATAAAAGTTGAAATCCGTTTTCATTTTTCCAAAAAAATCGAAAATGTACGTTGAAGCTTCGTGAAAGTTCCTCCAAAACCAAAATATCTTGCGTAAATGCGCAGAAATGCTTGTAATTTCTTTCAGATCGATGGTGTTTTTATTTTATTATTATTATTATTGATATATTATTATTATTATTATTAATTATCTTATTATTATTAGGAACGAAGATTCCATTAAGGGCGAAGTGGACTCCGCCTTTTGCAGAGAATCCAGAAATGAAGTGACCGAAATAATTTGCCATAAAGTGATATTTTCGATATCGAGGATTCATAATACCCATAACCAATACATAAAACACAAACATGAGTATTCTGTAGATACAACATGTTAGAAGTCAAATATTACACCCTTTTAAGAAGTCATTTACTACATATAAGATTAACATTTTTCTCCAATTTTGTACGCAGAACCAGGGTTAATGCGAGTTTTTATGACGGAAAATCTCTACTTCCACCGCACTATTGCAATAATTAGTTACGGCGTAGGCGAGAAAGTAAAAGTTCTGTAATTTCCTGAAGGCGTGTTTGCCGAGTTCAATGTTTCAAGGGCCCCTAGAGAGCAGGGCCCGGCGGGCGCGTGTCGCCCCTCAAAGCGATGATTCTGTGCGTTGCAAGGCGAGAAGGAAAACATATTTTTCAGTCGAAATGCGCGCTATCTCTTTGAAGTTTTAAGAATTTAATATGAACAATTAATCAACAACCGGAACCTACTGACGCGAATCGTTTTTATTGGCTCTCTTTATTGAATTTATAGTATTTTAATTAATTTCATATTCAATATAGCTTCATTAAGCTATTTTTCATATCGTTTACGACGTACGTTTAACTCTTCAATTTTGAATTACAGGTTTTTAATGGTTCGTGTTTTGGTCAAGAATTAGTGAGCCCACTGCAAATCGCTCCCGGGTTTCAGATTTCAGCGAATCGTGTAACGCACTGCGCTACGGAGACGATCAAACGTTTTCAAAAGGCGGCGGAATTACTGATTTGTTGGTTGATATTAAGTTATAACTAACCTGTCAGCTATTGAATAGATGCCATTATTCAATAAGAGAGATGGCGGTGATTAACTGAATGTGTTAGGGCGTTTTAACATTACAGGTCTCCTCAACATATTAACTGAACGGTGATGGCACTGCTTGTATGAAAACTTGAATTGTTTCAAGCTCGGCAAATCTTTTATTCCGCTTTGCTCAGCTCGTAGCGAAAGGTACTTTCAGAGAAAGTGAACAAGCTGTTGACAATATCAACACTCTTGTTTCAGAGGTATGTGAAGCAAATAAATTTAACACTGTTCTAGCCATTCATTTAGCAGACTATGCGTCTACCTGTATTTGGACTCAGGTAGGCACTGTATGTGCTAGAACGTTCATTTCACACACCCACAATAAATTTGTTAAATGTTGAGAATGACAAATCCCAAACATTCACTTGTTCGCCACACTCACCTTATTAGATAGGTAATTATTCTACCCAATAAGTAACCGGGGAAAGTGGATCAGGGCATCAACAGATGTCACTGCAGTCGCTGTTGACGGGGAGGTCCTAGGTTCGAGTGCCGTCGGTGGCAGGATAGATAGCTACGTCGTTTTCACTTCTGTATGGAGGCTATTAGCGGCTGGGCTGTCTGATTGGGAGTTTCCTGTGTTTCTCCGATCAGTCCCAGGCGAGATGCCGGGGCAAACTGGTCCGTGAAACGATGCGATCTTTTCCTCCTCTTTTTGTCCTAGCCCCACCCTTACTTACTAACACTGCATGCACACACTACCACAATGCCAGAGACCAGTCATGAATTAGCGCGGTGCGCCCTGGTGGAGATACCTGTTGGGAAAACCCGCAAGCTGACGAATAGGTCTCAGATCTAGAGAGAGAAGACCGCCCCTCCCGCCATAACACCATGCACAGCACTTACGGACCTATTCCTTAGCCGTTGTTCGCGCTCGGAACCACTAGTCAATCGCAAAGGAGGCCTCCTCGCAGCCTCGGAAGTTGACTGTCGATGCGCCGCAGAGACAGCGTTGCGCTCTTCCCGCGCGGTGCTGCACCGCTTCGGAGGGCGAACGAATCTCACTCCCACCTTGCGCACATTTCCCAGCCCGCACCTGCACTTCCACCCGCGGGATTTCCTTCGGCGAGAGAGGCTTTCATATTGCGTGATTACGACACTATTCTCCTTCCTCTATTCATATACGGAGGGGACCACAAGAGGAGAAACTTTCACGGAAAAATTTGGCTAGTACTCTGCGAAGCTCCCCAACCAGAGGAGGAAGATCGTCCCTCCCGAGCTCCATATGCCTTACACTAACGGAACTAATTACTTAGCAGCTGGCTCGCTCGGAAACACGGGACTCTTCAGTCATGAACGTGAGAATGGCTACCGCACGTTAAATCTGAGAAATAATATTTCACTCGTATTTGTTCCGCAGGAGGAACTGTCCGAGCAGCATGCGGCACGCTGCCAGAATAGAGGGAAAGCCAATACTAACATTAGAATTACTTCTCACTCACATGGCATCGTAAAAACTATTAGTCTTCAATTACTTACTCTTTGATATTTTAATTTACTTCAATTTCCCCCTTCAATACTTCCGCATTTATCCACACGCAAATTTTACATTCGAGTATCAATTCAATTAGTTGATATTCAAACAAAATACAATCACTTCCTTCACAATAATTGCTAATAATTATTTTCTGGGCAACACATTCGGCGAACATGTAACGAGTGTCGAATTATATTTTTAAATTTGAATTGTATCAAGAAACTGAGTTATTTTTATTTAAAAAATACCAAAATTACGACTTTAAAATAGAAAAAGTTTGAAAGTATATTCAATAAGTCATAAGTAAAATTATTTATGATCAAATAAACCGATTTCTACGATGATCATTATGCTAAAAAATTGTGGTTACTTGTTAAATAAAATCACAAGTTAAACATAGAAAATTATTATATAAATTTAGTGGAACCTATTTTAATGTCTAGCGTCATTTATGATTTTTAATAGAGGCCAGCCTTATAGACGGACACTCCCGAAAATATATTTGAATCAGTTTCTAGTATGGATATTAGATCAAGCTGTTGAATATGTCACTGATGTAATCAAGACTTCTTTCATTCATTCAAGTAAACTCAGCTTGCAATCTTTCGACTAATCTGTACCAGCAAATCTCTGTTTTTGGTTATCCTGAAAATGACCAAACTGATAATTTCGCTAATAGGCGTCACAGGAACCTTAGATTACATACGACTGACATTACTATTTCTGAGCGAAGAAATCGAATAGGCTACTGAGTAATTCTGTTGAGAAAATTTATTGCATCCCTTAAATATTATATGTAGTAAGTACCATTAAAATTATATTAAAATCCATGAAATCAGCAAAAAAAACTTTAAATGACGAAAATCAGTAAAAATACTAATTAGCAGTCGAAATCGACGAAAAGCGCGAAACAATACCATATAAAACGGGACATTTGCTTTTGTCAGAGCATAAAATTAAGTTCTAAAGAGAAAAAAATTGCATTTTATTAACATCCGACCCCTACTAATGACTATAATTAACTATTTAAAGTAAACATTAATTGAAAATTTATGAAATACAAGACTACTGCATTGGGTATTTTAAAATTACGTTAACAATTTATTAAGGTCTAATTTTTTTTTTACTAATTTTTCCCCATCACTCCCATCATCGAGCCCTTTGACTTGCGAGGCTCTCTTAACAAATGAAAAACTATTTAACTGATCTGAAGTTGCTAAAACAATTATCTAATATATCGATAATTAAAAATATTGATTAGGAAGCGAAATAATTATTCAACATGCAAATCGTAAGCACAGCTGTCAAAGGACATTCTATGGGCAAAAATTACTGGCTACTGGCGTCAAACTTACGTGTTTGCGTTACTGTCGCGTTGAACCCACAGGAAACTTTCAACAATGCACAATGTCATACGATGAAAACCACAAAAAACGAAATCACTCTGCAGGAGCCACAAATCCACCTCCTTCCGACACAAATGACCACACAGCCACACACAACTATGACTGAATGACGACTTCCAGCAGGGTTCCCGGTCAGCCGTTCCCACCAAGAGCTCGCTTTCCACTGCTACCAACTTCTTGGGAACGACATTCAAGGACTTTGAGAAAACGTATAGTAAATAAGAACATTTTGATTTACATTTAACAAAACGGAACATAGAAACAATTACTTTCAAGCAGTACATGAGTCGGTTTTATGCCATCCTAACACCAATTTGATGCCTCTGGGAAATTAATCCAGTCAAAAGGTATCTGACCCTCAAAAAATTCCAGAAGTTTCATTCTTAGCGGTTGTATATGTTTTTGCTGTTGGAGAATTCGAATTTGATGTTTGCTACCTCAAATAAAGGTGGAATCACAGATAATTTTTTTATAAAAGCCTAATAATTTCGCCCTGTGTTTAGTTTTTCACATTTATCTTCAAAACTATGCGTTCTTTAGGGGAAAAAATTAATTAAAAAATTAGTGTAATTGCAATTATTTTAAAAAATGCATATGTAAAATTAAATTTCTAATAAATGCTTTAGACGCTTCAGCGCGCTGAAAAACTGTTACATTTTGGACGTCTGGCTAAAGTGGGAGATTCTCTCTTTCCAGCCACCCCACCACCTAGCGGTATGCTAATTTCACTATATCACGTTTGAAAACAGCTATTATGAACAAATAATTGCTATTGTTAAATTATTAACACTTCGATGCTCATGGAATCAATAGTCTTGTTCACTCGCGCCGAGAATCTGTGAATCCGAGTTCACAGGTAACGAACGTTTATGCTTAGAAAGTTGAAGAACGGTTTCCCACCGTTAACTTAAAACCGGCAAAATCTGACATCGAACTGACTGACTTTTTGTTTGCATTGATACATTTATACATGTATTCTCTCTCACACCTGTCTTTACTTTTCGAGGAAAGTAATATTTTCATATCTTTATCAACTTCTAATATTTTATTCGCAAAATGTCCACTACCGTCCATATGGAAATATATATTCAAACAATCAATGCAAGAACCATTAAAATAGATATTTTTAGAAGCAATACATCATCAAATGTATACCTCGGAAGCTAAAGCTGGGCTTGAATTTCTCAAAATTTAAATTATCCTTTAATGGAAACGAACGAGAAAAAAATTAAAGGTAACTTGTACAAAGGAGTTTAATCACACTCATGGTATGTAAGAAAATTCTCTCCTATCGTCGCTCGTTTCCATGAACATCCCATAAACGCAATTACCCTCGCTTTATACCTTTGTTTCGATATTTACTATAATTTTTTAAAATAACATTGCTTCAATAAAACGCGTTGTTTTGAAGATATTAGCGAAATATTTTTGGTTTTTTAGTAATTTTCTCAGTGATGCCGAGCTTTTTTGAAGGTGGAAAACATCCAAATTCGAATTACTACACCCAAAAATATGAAGACCGTTGAGAAAGAACTAACCAGATTTTTTTGTTTTTTTTTCTTGGATGGGACCCATTTGAATACTGATTAACTGGACAAACTCTTGCTACATATTTTTATTTATTATTTGTATCTTTTAAATAGAGGGAATCATTGGTCAATTAAATCTATTTTGATCTAGTAAATGTATCAAAAATATATAATCATATTTTAATGAAAGCCAATTATACAAGTGATTTTAAATGACATGTTTCTGATTTAAATTATTAAATGATTGTCTCTAATTAAAAAAAATATGAAAAATAAATAAAATTTGAACAGACAATCAAAAAATATTAATAAGTTGTGGGATTTTGCCTATAATGTATGTGTGTGTTAGTTGTACCTGGCCTATTCAGATCTTCAAACAGTTCGTTCTTCAGAGGTCCATGGATTTATCATTTACTAGCTTCCATAGATCATAAGGCATGTCAATATTTTATTAGAGCTGAAAATCTCAAAAATTTCATTCCCAAATGCAGAGTTAATGTTTAATCTGTGACATCAGCAGTCTCATTTTCAATAATGTCTTAGTGTGGTAGAATCCATAAAATTATAATTTTGTTTCCTGATTTAGGTGCTTCAAAATGAATTTATAATTGATTCAATATTTCTTATGTTGTTCTATTATTTGGTATATAATGAAGATGAGTGTAATGATCCAACTAGAAGATAGAGATTAATGATGAAAAAACAATTCATCAAGACCAAGAAATGGTCTGTTCATTGAAATACATTTGTAGCATTCCGGTTACTACTAGGAAGGGTTGATGAAATAGTCTTCCAATAAAAAAAAAACAAATTGTTAGTATCAAATGATCAATAATTATCATTTTCATGATTACTATTGATTCTATAAATAGAGAATTTCAGTGGATGAAACAAACTATATTAGGATATATGGCAATTGATAATGGATAGTGAAAGTGTACAATTAAAAAACAGGTGACTTGTATATTGATACCAATTTTTCTGATTGCTAAAATAATTTCTGACAACCTGAATCTCATGGCAAAAAAAAAAAATAATTATTAAGGCTAATTAATAAGGCTATTAAGGATAGGATATTTGAGTCATCTGATATCTATTCCAATTTCAACAGTTCTTCTGGTTAATAGCAGAGTTAATTACAGTGGTAAAAATGTAATCTTTTGTTAATTCTGGAAATTCAATATCACATGCTCCTAATATTAAATTTACTAACTATTTTCCAAAGCCTCTAATGAAAATTGGTTGAACTGAGGAGGTGTTAATAATAAATACATTTGTGGTAACAATACCTTATGTTTGATAATTTCCAATTATGAAACCTGGTTTCCTAATTTTACTCAAAACAAAACTTTTAAAGAAGTATCTGAAATTCCAAATCAATCTAAAAAGACGAAGTACAGTGTTCAAAAGTCACTGTGTTTCTTAGAAAATAATCATTATTATTATAAAATGGGCAATGTATTTGAATAAATAATTGGGCAAAGTGTTAATAATCTTTTTATGCTTAAGTGTCTCTTTATTTTGGCCATTTATCAAATAATGATCTAGTTTAATGAACTTTAGACCTTATGTTTTAAAGGAAATAATAGCAAAGTAAACAAAGAAAATCTAGTAAAGAATGAAATTATATAGAAATTATTTAATTTTGGAAGGTTCCTATTGTCATTTTATTTCATTTATGTTAAATAAGAAAGATGACATGACTAGGGAAAGTTATTAAAATGAAATTGTGAATGAACTATACTAATTCTAGTTTGTTAATTGTGTAAATGTGAATAATGTTTAGGAAAACTAAACATTATTCACATACTGACTAATACTAATACTAAAACCGAGGAAAAACCCTAATAATACTAAATTTATTGGAATTGTAAATTTATGATGCCCATATTTTCCTAAAAATACACATTGGCGTACATGAACTTTTTATTTTATATTACTTTTCTTTAAAACCTCTGGTTGTCTTTGAATAATTTTAGAAGCTAAATTCTAGGTAGAATTTCACCAAAACTAATCAATCAGACAATTCATAAATCATCGATCTGGCTGATGTTGAAGACCCTTGAATTTAAATGGATGTGTTGATTGTATGTACTCTTTAATGGAAGTCCTTTTGGCATATACACAATATTCTCAAAGTAGCTCAAAATTGTTTATTTTCTTCTCGAATAAAGAAAAGTCACATATAAATTGTACTTGGTTTGATTTTCATCAAATATTCTTTTGACTTGAATGCAACAAGATAGATATAGGAATATCTGTTTTGAGGGAAATGCTTGCCAGAGCAGTGTTCATCAGTTATCAGCACCAACATGTAGCTGACAAATTACCACACACTTACTTTAACCACTATGCAAGACATTATTAAGGAGGAATTAATTAGCGTATATTCCTGTTGTCAATTTAGGAATAATTGAGGAATACATGTAATTATTGTATGAAAAGTATTTATCTTCATTTTGTTTTCCTGAGTCTTTCTTACATGGAAGTTTAAAACTGCTACTGAATTTAGAATAGTATGGTCTCTAGAAGGAATTGAGCTTTTAATCATATTTAAATGCCATGTTTTAGGCATAAGAATAACAGTTGACATGAAGCTCATTGTAGATACAAATTAACTGTAGTGGTAATCATTGTAAATATTAACAATAATTTTTGGGATCCTGATTCATTTTCAGAATAAGTGAGACAAGGTGCAAATCTATACTTTAATAATTATTGTTCTAATATTACATCATCTGCACTACAAAACTACCTTTGAATGCAATGTTTCCTTTTATGCACTAGCTGTGACAATGTGTTGTTGTTCAAAAAGAATTTTGAATATTAGGAAATTAAATTGCAGAAACATTATTTGTCCTGAGAGGGAAATCTGGAATAAACAAAATGGTGAATTTGGCAAGTAAGTTAACAACTTAAAGAAAAATGGAATAGTGGCCAAAGAAGAGACATTTGCTGTATCGATTATCTACAAATTAGTTTGCACATTTTATTGATTAATCATCAATTCAAGTGAAAAACTATATGTGCAATTAGGAAGAAGTGTTATTATAGATGGGGTTATATTTTTTGGAAGTGATGTGTAAATTGTTGTGGTAAACACTTTTAAACAGTTGGATGATGATGTTCTTGTGTTCTTTTATTTATAGACAGAGTATTATATTATGTATGTAATGTGTCATGTTATTGTCATTTCTCATGCTGTCATATTGTCATAACTATCATAAAAATTTAATAACAACTTTGCATTTGTAAATAAAAGTTCAGTCTGTGTTATTGTTAATACAACATTTTTTTAGCAGATAGTCATTTTATTTTAAAGGTAGAATGTGACAGTCAAATAATATACAGTTATATGTCACTGTTCCGTTGACATCGTTGGATTTTTTTAAGGAATTTATTTTGGAGTATTTTGTTTATATCTGTTTATTTGCCGTTTTTGTGCAATATGGAAACTCTGTGTGTTTGTCGTGATAACGACCTCTATTTGAGCCCTGCATCATCACTGTTATCTTAGCTGTTGCTTCAATTTGTATTAAATTATTATTGCTTATATGTTACAGACTTAATAAGTATGATGTAAAAATTACTATGGAATTGTGAGCATGAAGTTCAACTATTA